TCAGCCGCGTGGCAACACTGGGAGAACAGCTTGTGCAAGCGCAGATGAAGCGCTGCTGAAAGAGCCTGCAAAGTGATGCTTTGATGGCGCCACTGCTTTTGAGTTGAAGGCGAAGGAAGAAGACGAGAGGAGGTGACACGGGACTGCCAGGGTTGAAAACGGGCATGGAGACATTGCTACAGGGGTTGGCGCAGGAGCGAGCTGCTGTTTCAGCTGCTAAACGAGCTGGCAAATGGTGGCAGAAGTGAGTAGATGGAGGCAGCTCTGCATGGCGATCAGCAGCCTCAGCTACCAGCTTGATGAAGGTCTGGGCATGGCATGCACTGACTGATCTGTTCTGTCAAGTCTACGCTGCACTGCTGAAGCTCAAGACAACAATCAGTCTTTCAAGGGGTCTGTGGTGGTACCAGAGTGCTGTAAGATCATGCAGAACTGAGTGAGTTTGACCAATATGGCTGCTGTCCAGGGGCTGGCTCAATTGCAAGGCTGTCCCAGATTGGACTTGAAGAGACAGCAGATAGCGTCAGTTCAGAATAAGAGGCAGTCTTCAGCATGGAAGCGCACACTCCAGCAGAGCAAATGTTGGAGTCATCAGTCTGTGAGATCTTATACAGTGACGTGTCGAGTAAGCTGGGGGAAATCAGAGTCCCAGTCATGTAGTTCTTTAGCTTGGGGCCAAATTAGTCAGCATAGACTTCCAGTAACTTTTTGAGAAGGGCGGTGTAAAGAAGTGCGCGAGTTAGCGACTACTTCCAGAAAGGTTCTGGTGACGAGGGGAGCCGTTCAGGAGCCCCCTCCCTCAAGTGCACCACCACGGGAAGGTAGACTGGCAAGAAGGAATCAGGAGTTGATAGAGAAAGAAACAGGTCACCATGGGGCAGCAGGTGGCATGGCCCCCTCTCCGAGTCTTCTGAACCTCATTGCCACTCCCGGCCGGTCAGCTCTGACTGTCAATCTTCGGCCAAGGAAAATAGCCCCGGAAGTGATCTGGCTCCCTTGCGCTCAGGAAGACCCCATGGCTTACAACCTGTTAGGCCTTACCGCGAATGCCTACCTTCTCCTTTTGGGGCGCCAGGCTGTCGCAGTTGATGCAACCTCGCCGTTCATCATCCCCTTGTTACACAGCATCCTGAGGGAGGAGAAGTGCACCTTGAGTGCGCTGCTTCTGACGCACCGCCACATTGCGTTGGCGGGCAAGCCACAAGGGCAGGGCCTTAGGGACTTCAAGCGAGCCTTTCCGCGAGCCCCTGTCTTTCTGCACCCCTCTGATGCAGAGCATGAGGAAGGCAAGGTCAGCGGGTTTGTGTACGACAATCCTATCGGGAGTGCGCTCCTGAGTGCACTAGGTGTGGAGACCTGGGAGTTTCCGGGGCACACTCGGGGACACGTGCATTACTACCTGGACAGGTCAGGGGGCGTTCTATGCACAGGTGAGGTTGTTTCCATGCCCCAGTCGAAGCACACAGCCTAGACTGGGTTTAAGAATGTCAAAAAGTTAAGGTGACGTATCTCCGTTTTCAAAATTCAGGGTATTGCAGTGGGCTTCTGCTTTTGTTGCAACAAGCAGCTCAAGCAGGAGTCCTTGATTGGAAGCTTGAGGGCCTGCAACTGCTTTGACCAGAAATTTATGTGGAAGCGAGATCGAAACTTCCGTTGTTTGTTGGTGAGTCCTTGCGATTGAAGCAGCACACCGGACAAGACGAAGGTCGTGATAGCGAATTACATGCCGATTGTAGTCTCAAACGGTTTGATCGGTCTGGCCAGATCATGTCGCCTTGTGTATCTCCAAACAACCAAGCCGCTCATATTTTGACATGGCCCTTAACATCGCAGGAGATAGTGCGGTGGGCGCACCGATGCATCGCTCTGAGCCCGGCCGAGATGCGATGTGCAGAGCCCCCGTCCCTGTTAATGAGGACGACGGAGAGGCAGCGAGGCAATGGTCAGACTTTCTGCACAATAGTGCGAGGCCTAGCATTGCCACAATTTGTCCGTACCATGGAAAAGTCTACAGGAACGAGATGCCTCGCCGTGTGGAGTTCTTGCTAGATCAATTGAGAAGCCCTTGGCCGACTGTCGTGCCTTGAGAGCGCTCGGCATCTTGTATATAGATTGTGACACATGGTCGGACCGTGTGTGTAATAACATTTTGGCAGCTGTATATATGTCAAGTAGTGATTCGTGGATCTAGCTAGAGTAGCTAGTTAGCTAGTAAATTTGTCAGCATAGGCGGTAGACGGTTGCTGACAGACGGACTAGCTTTATAGCTCACAGGATTGTTAGTACTGGCGCTCATGTTTGTTACAGACTGTAGCATCATTAGCTCACTAGCAGTTGGTTAAGATGGATACTCTCCCGCAAGAGATCATGAAGCTGGCCATCTGTGTCGGAGAGTCAAAGGATTACTACGACTTTTGTTTTTCGAGCTAGCTGAAGCCAACGTGGTGCGCGGACGATTGTACCTAAAGTTTGCTGGACATCTTTGTCAATCAGTCACTGGTTGTTTGTCATATTAAGCGCGCGATATCGATCCCACTGATGCTCAAGAAGTCAGTCCTTTTCATGTACCATGCTTGTAGATATGTCGATCCGTACGTACACCTTTGTCAGCTTAACGTTCTGAACTGGGGGTGGTCATTAGAAGTATCTGATATATGACTCAGGGTCACATGAACAACCGTCGCGCCTGAAACCACGCAATTCTGCTCAAAGCTCTGCCCACTAGCCGGCCTCCAATTCATTGGCGAGTTGAAAGGCCATTGAATCACTGGCAAGCAAATTCCATCGACAGCCACAAGACTATCTACTCGCAGTTGCATGGGTGGCGCATGCAATGACCGGATGATCATGGTGATCCAGTAAAACAATAGCGGTCTGTGATTATAGGGGCCTCCTCTAGCTGTAAAGCGCGCCGCTCGCGAGACAGGCTTCATGTAGGTTCGTATGGCTAAATGTTGAGTCGTGCATGAGTGCATGGATTTTTGCAACCTCCGCCTACCATATGCATGTCAAGCTCAAAAGTCTAGGCACCGGGCCAAGATTTCAAGAGTGTTCCTCATAGCGGCACACCCAATGAACGCCATCAGCGAATGCAAAGCGGGTATATTCTGAGCTAACAGCAGTGGGGCTGGCAAGTGACCTTCAGCGTAAGATCCTAAGATTTTGAAAGGGAATATGAGGGACCAAATTAAGATGGTCTTACAGTCTTATTTGGAACACTGGTGGCCCTTCTCTCCTTCCTCCTACCTTGCTACCTGTGAAAAGCGAGAAAACCTCCAAATCAAGCCTGTTGTTCCCGACTGCATGATTGCCGCGCGGGACAACATGCAGCATTCGTATGTCCACTCCGGATGCAACTTATAAACGTGGACCATCGGACGAAGAGATATAAGCTTTGCGCGATCATACTAACGGGCGTCGTACCCGAATACCGCACGCCGTATGCGAACCACTGTGACAAGACGGTCCGAGTCCATCGAGTCCCCGGTTGAGTTCCTTGTAGGGTATCCAGATCAGAGCGATCGCCCGGTGAACACCGCTTCCAATCATTGGCGACAGTAACTCTCGACCACCCGCGCTGGGGCCGACTCTTGAACATGCACTGAACCTTGTCAGACATGTGCTGACGATACATGAACCTCGTCGAAGGATTGTGCTCACTGCTGACGTTCTTTTGACACTCCTCTCCACACACTTTAAGGTTGATTGCACCTGACCTTGCCCACTGCTCATTCTGAGTGATTTGGCTGAGCTTGTAAAGTCCCACTCTAACAAGAGTGAACGCCTGTCAGTTGCCGGAAATATACAGGGCTCCTTCGCAACCCTCGCACATGGTAATGAATAGCTATTTTACCAACACTCTGCAACAGTCTATGCCAATTCTCTGGGGATTGTGCACCAGTTCGGACCAGTACTACATTAAACTTGTTTAGCTGCCAGTCCAGTATTTGAGTCAAAAATATCTGCTTCACTTCTAAAGACCTAATAGAGCATGTACTGCCATGCATCGAAAGCAGCTAGCTGATACGCTGGTTATTCAATCCCAAAGTGGGTCAGAGCAGCAACATAAACAAATTGCGCCCTCAAATCCGTCAAACAGACGCCTCATTGCGGGCAGCTCCGTTCATCCCAACGCTCAGACCGTTTGGACCGCAAGCTGTGAGGTAAATGCAGCATCTGTTTCTACAGTATCAAGTGAATTCAACAGAGCTTGCGCTGCCCGCTGTCAACATGCAAAATTACAGGTGGACCAAAGACAGGACACTCTGCTGAGAAATTCTGCTCACTCACTTGATCAGATAAAGATCAAGCCTGAACCTTTACTTACACGGAGATTTATTTTTCAAGGACTTTCTCGTTTCTTGCTGAGCGCTAACACACTTCAACAGGGCCCCTGAGCCTTGCTCGCGCCATTGATCTTGCAGAAGTATTCTTGCTGTCTACAGCAAGTTTTGCCTGCTTCGGAACGGACTTCGACCTCCTCCGATGGCTCTCCACCCGGCTTTCCTCGTCGTACTGCTTGTGGGTGCCTTGGCTGTCGTCTCCTCCCAAGTCACTCTCGCGCCTGGCATTGATCCCAAGTACCAGTTCTTCATCGATCTGGCAAACACGCCTATCGCTAAGGGTGACAATTTCCCAGGTGAGACCCGCATCCAGGCTCCTCGTATTATCTCAACGTTGCTGCGCATGGTTCTTTGAGTCTAACTTTTTGCAGCTGGATCGTTCAAGGACACTCCGGGTCCTACCATTCGGGTGGTAAACCAAGATTGTCCTGGCTGGGTCTTACTAAACCAGAGTGACCTAGCAGAAATTTCAAAACAGATTCTTTCAGCTAGCTAGAGATGAGAACTGCAGTGCAGTGCTTCTTCTGACCCTCTCCCGTGCGAATGCCTTCCAACATTGAGGCAATCAAAGCAGAGAATTTAGAGCCCCGCATCTGGACACAATAACAATGTGCTCTGCATACCCGTGCCTTCCCTGGATCATCTGACGTACAGGCCTCGGCGTCTTCCGCTGGGCCCGCTTCCGCTCGAACGGTTCCGCTTACCTGGACGGATTCCAGCAAGCGTTTGGCGACTCGATCCACATGCGAACCGCGCCCTGGGGCGGCATCTCCCTGGCGCTTCTGACGATCGCCCCCGGCGGCCTACGCCAGCCACACTGGCACTTCAACACCGCGGAACTGGGTTACGTCCTCAGCGGAACGGCTCAGGTGACCGGAACGTGCGACACGTTGCTTGAGCGTGACTTAAAGGTGCAGAGACGAAAAGACATCTGGTGTGAAGCTGCTCGGGCCAAGCCTTTTTCCGTGTCCTATCTTGAGCTTTCCTTGAATTTTCGGAAAGAAGGTTTTTTGGGGTGGTCGAACCGAGTCGACTCCATGGGGCACGATTTTGACTTATGCAAGTACAGCTGTACTTTGCTACTTAGCAATGCTCAGGCTGAAGTTGAGCTTCCGAGGGACCCGACACGTCACTAATACTTGACGAAGGTAATTTTCGCAGGTCGGGGCTTTTGGCCCGGGCACTCTTCCCGCCGCGGAGTTTGCGGTCCAGCAGGGACAGATCTTCTTCTTTCCCCAAGGGAACAACCACTACATCGCGTGAGTGCAGTTCACTTCCCCACATTTGTTACCCAATCCGGTTGGTTACGAAACCAGGCTCACATGCAACACCGCAGCTGGATTGTGCTTCAATTCGCCCGTCAGCTGGATAGCAGGTAACATATGGCCAGGTATCCATCTTGGCTTGTTGAACCTTGAGACAACGGATGAGTTCGAGGATGTGCACCTTCTTGCAATAAAGCAGATATAATAGAGGTCTGCACCAAAAGAGGAGACGAGGTGCGATCTGATGTTTTGGGTTCTTCGCCTGCAGGAACTCGGGTTCGACTAACCTGACCATCCTCAACGCGTTCAGCACCGTCGATCAGATTCAGACCCTGCAGCTCGACGACCTGTTGCTTTGTAAGTATTTCAACTACAACTGAAGAGTTTCAGACCCTTTCAACCCATCAGCTCCTGATTTCAGAAGACGCTAGAACCTTTTCAGAGGCGAACTTTCGCGCTTTGTCGACACTGCTAGAATGAATCGATTCCACTTTGTGAGCGGCTCGTGTTGACAAATTGAAGCAGTCAAATTTGGTATTCTCCGCAAGTCCCCACATGGACAGAGTTTCAGCGGTATTGCCTCACACCGTGCGACGTTTGGACGCTAAGGGGAAATTGGATGACCGAAGATTGCCCAAGGTGCCTGAAAGCGTTGTACGGAAGAAAATTTGCGTTCTTCAATTGAATGCGCCAGCAGACAGCCCTCGATTTCTCGATAAACTTTCTTCGCACCTCCGAGTGAACGCTAACTGCTCGCTTGGTGTCAACTTCGCAGTGTCAGACCCATCAGTCACCGCCCAAATCTTAGGCGGCCAAAGCGCCACCTTTGCTCAGTTCCCCGCTTATGCCGTCGGTTCAAAGGTAAGATCCTATGTTCGCAAAGGACGCAGCTTCTGCTTTTGATGAAAGACTGTCCGCCCACGTCAAACTTAATAAGAAGCAACCCCGAGACGGTAGAATTCGCAGATGAACAGATTCCTCAGCCCTTCATTGCTGATAAGTAGTTCGTGCGGAGAAGCTGCCGACTCAACTCAAACAGTGTTTCCGCTCCGGTTCCGTTTCCGGCAGGCTCTGGTGCCCGGACCTGCCGGATCTAACAAGATCGGATCCCCGCTGGACGGCCCAATCGTCAGCTCCGACAACCTCAACGCGAGCAACTACTTCTACAATCTCAAGGGCTCCCAAAACTTCACGTATCCCGGGGGAGTCATCCAGGCAAGTTTGATTCCCAAGGCCTTGAATGTTCTCGACTCTCATACGTCCATCGGAGTCAAACACAAATCCTCGCAGCATCCGCTGTTGCAAGCTCGCCGTGGTGTTGAACGGTTCGATGAAATTTTTTGTTGGTCTGCAACGCATGTGCGATTCGAGGGTGTTCAATAGGAGCCGAACAGGGCGTATATTGGCTTGCCTATTACTTTTAGTAATATGAAAACCATTGCTTTCACGGAACCGCTCTTCGGGCGACGCTGTACGACGCCGCTCTGCGGAAGATAACAAGTATGAGACTGGCGAGTTTCTCGTTTGGCCCTGCTTCGATACGAAAACGTACGCAAAATTCCCCTAAAGATCCACACCTGGGCGGGGGCCAAGGACAGACTGTGCCGCGCGCCTTCGTGATTTATTGCTACCTATACGCATCGAACGCGAGCGCGAGTGTGCCGACGGAAAATACCGTAACGAAGTAACGTTCACCCTCGATTTCTCCAAACACGGTTCATGCAAAACTGCCACGTGGTAAGATTTCGAATACCACGAACTTGTGCGAAGCTGCCACGTATAAGTTGGTACCTCTGCCAAGCGCCTGACACTACGACGTAAGCCGGTCATTGAGTGCACAAATTAAAATTCAAAAGACCCTTAACTGCGATCGACTCCCTCAGTATTGCACCCAAAGTCTGTTAAAGATGCGTCAAAGTGCCCGGGAGGACGAGAGCTTGGTAACCTGGTATGCACTGCGCAGCGACTTGAAGTACGCACCGCATGGGTTTGTACGGAATTCTGGGTTCAAACACCCTGAATAAAATCTGCTCGGATCCAACAAATCCCTTGAAAATCTGGACCCCGTTGAGTCCTTCAAAGATACTTGGACGCCTTGAACTTTCCTCGCGACTCCACTTTATAATTTCCTGCCGTCTGCGGCACATAATAGGCAAGCCCCCACCGCCCTTGAGGGCGGTCTACCATGTATACGTCCGGGTTTGCGGCACTCTCGAGCAAACAGTAGCCACAAAGCCCTTTCTTGCTAAAACAAGGCGCGCAGTGTTTGGCGTTGGGAGACGTCATCAACACCACCAGCCATGAGAACAGGTCTCCATCCAAAATTGCTCAATCATCTCCTTCTAGCAAGTCTGAAAGCCGTAACACCTGTTTCTTTGCAGTGGGCGCGCTATCGCGCAAACGCGACGGCCGCAAACTTGACCGCCCAGCAGACCGCTTTCAGCCAGACCCTCCACAACACAAATGCCGGCATCACGGCCGGAAGCCTGCTCGTGGTTCCGGGGGGGGTCCGTGAACCGCACTGGCATACGGTGAACGAGTTCGCATACGGTGAGGGACGGCTCTTGGATGGTTTCAGATGTTACTTGCTCGGTCGGATCTGATGTTCACGTGTCGTTCGAGTCCTTCGTAAGAGCGATTGGAGTCTTGATTGGAGATGAGCATTTGTTTTCCCGAATTGGCACAAAGCTGGCTGCAAATGACGCTTTTCCTTACCGCCATCCTTCTGGGTTTCCTTTTTGACACCTTTTCCTTGGCTTCTTTATTGTACGTCCGATCAGAGCCTTCACTTCCGGCGCCGGCAGCACAATTTTGTTATTTCAGGGCTTTCCCAGCAACTTTTTCAAGCTCGAATTTCGTTCCGGCTGCAGTGACGGGCGGAAAAGGAACCATCCAGACGGTGGGACCCACCGGGGCTGACACGTACAGCTATGACGCGGTACCAGGCAACCTCTTCTTCTTCCCCACCGGGTGCGCGCGCGCGTCACCTTGTCTGCTTCGAGATTGTACTTTTGCCTTGGCAGCTCAGATTGTACAGCTTTGTCGTACATTAGCCGTTTCCAGGAGCACGTAAAGGACTCTTGGTTCGATCGCTGACTCTTTTGCTGAATCCACTGGTGACCGCTTCCAAGTCACAAATATCTAACAACGTTCAGATAGCAGGAGTTACGAAGCTGAATCTTTTGCCCAAAAGCGGCTGAGTGTTCTCAAACCGAAGGCAAAAACTTCCCGTGCGTGCGTTCCCGCAACTTCCCACGATACACACATGAAGTCGAGCTATATTTCATCCAGTCAGGGATCTCTGTAGGCGACGACAGCGTTGTCGCCTTCAAAATAGCAATCTTCTCTGTTTTCGTGGGCAGGTATTCCCACACAATCCGCAACCCTCCGGGTAACACGGACAACTTCACCCTCTTCATCGTGTGGTCCACGAGCGACGAGCTCCAGTCCGTTGATCTTGAGGAGTCGTTCGACGGTGAGAAATAAATATGACTCTCGTGTTCAGTAGCTACGAACTGCTCGGTTTATCTTTCTACTCGTGGAACCAACAGATTAGCAGGAAACATTGAAGAAACATGTGAAGACTAGGACTGTCTTAGGTTGAACCGCTCTACGGAAGTTGCAGTTATGAGCGAGCAGATTTAGTATCCAACCCCGTCTGAAGGGATCCAAGTCGAATCAATGTCCCTGATATGTGCTTCGTTATAACCGTCAGCTCATTGCGATTCACTTTGACCGCCAATTCCCGGTCGATTGATTTTGATGATGAGCAGTCAGGTGAACGGGCTTCGTTGAAGGTGAGTCGCAACTGAAAAACTGTGAGGTTCAAGTCGGCTACTGGAACGAGCTCGGATTTTTCGAGAATGAATCAACAATCGATCATCCCCTGATGCCCGAACGGATGTCCGTTCCGCCACCGGGCCGCCACCACTAGCGAACTTCTCGTGTTCCGCTTGCAGTCATCTCGAGCGGAATCCTGGGCCAAGCCTTCGGCGTCAACCCCCAGGTGTTCTCCTCCCTTCCCAAGCTGCACGAGACGATCGCACCCCCCCGGAACGTTTCCGGCCCGGCTTTCTCAAACGTGCTGGCGAGTTCCGCACAAGCTCCCGCTTCCGGGCCTGCCGCTCCCGCCGCGGCTGGCGGGAACGGAACGGGCACCAACGGGACGGCCGTCAAGACGGCCACACCATGAGAAGCTTTGCTGACGAAATGGGTAACGGACGCTTTATAATGCTGGAATCGGAAGGATGGAAGCCGAAGGGTCCTGTTTCCACATGGATCCCGGCCGGCCCAGAGCCTGACGGAACCTAGCGCTCGTTTCGTAGGGATCCCCCCAAGATGTAAAGGCAATTTTGATAGGTTAAAAGAGGTCACCAATATTGATGTGCGGGGATGCAGGTCTGCGTCGAATTGGGGTCGAATTGAGACAATATTGCTCAGACATTGAAAAACGATACGTTTGGTTAAGCCAGAAGACTCCGCGAGTCGCTCAGCTGTGCACGAGATTCGGTTCGGACCCCTTGTGCCCGAAATTTCGGAAAGCCTGTCATTGCATTTGCGCTGCGCACAATCTGCTGATTAGAATATTCAGCTGCACATGAAGGAAGAAAGCTGAACACCCCCTGAACACCTTAGCATACTAGTGGACCACAGTGGCATCAGCGAGCAGCAGTCAGCTCGCAAGATTTGGTCAACAGTCAACATTCTAGCTGTAATTACAATGTCTGAAGCCGTGCACATTAGCTGCCTATAACAAAACCTATCTAGAACTGAATTTCGCTGATCGAAGCGCGCCGTCGCGGGGCCGGCCGCGTGCGGCGGATTCCTCAAAGGCTGGCAACCGGCCGAGTCTACGTGGATCACCCGACCGCTTTCGGCCGGCGCACATCTCGAAACTTGTTTCATCGTGACCATCCAAAACACGGATCTGAATTAGTATCGACGATCAGAAGCCGAGCCATGAAAAGTTCACGCGAAATGTCGACATGGGATTACAAGTGATCTCGCCGGAGACCGACTTGCAATTCGCTGAGTTTCGGGGCTGAATTTTTCTGAGCCGCATTCATGACATCGACAGTGACGATGTTTCAACTGAACGCGGGTAATGTGTGCCGCTATCTGATTTGGAAGGATCTACAGTTGCATTCTTGTAGTATTGCAGAGTGACTTGGGCTCCTTTTAAGTGAGAATTCACAGAAGACCAGAAGACGCATTCAGCGGCTTTTGACCGGGCAACATGATATTTCCGAAAACTGACATTCGATTCACCAATGCGACTTCTAGGGCTATCAACCTAAATTTGATAGCAGTGTCTGCCAATTCGCACAGGTGGATGAGGCAAACATGAACAGCGCTGGCGGCCCTGTGATACAACTTTGGATTAGTATGTAGATTTGTAAACGGCATGATCTGGGTCAAGCTCGTTTTGCATGCGTATGCTTGTGGCATTGCAGTCATCTGCACATCATTCCACTCCCTGCTTCGGATGCGTCAGAGCTTTGTCTGAAGTTACGACCTTGAGCGGCACTCAACGATCGCAAGGTGCTCAGTCGTCAGATTCGCTGTCGCAACGTCAGCTGACAATTGTCCGTCTCAGCAAAAGTGCTGACAGTGAACGAGACATTGCTCCCTTTTACAACAATGGTGAGTGATTCAGGCTTTCATACAAGAAAACATAGCTATGGTTATTGCAGTCGACCATACCTTTTCTGCATGTTCCTTAATTATTTACCCTCCTTTTGAAATGGCGTCTAGGGAAAGAGGGAAACTTGTAGCAGTCGATGCCCACACACAACCTGGTGTTGTGCTCTCAAGACGCTGAAATGTGACATGGTGTCCGACCCCTACCCTTGCAGGGACTGGCTCGTGTTAAGCAGATGCGGAGAGTGGCAGCTCTTGGCAATGTGCTGTTGCTGGCAGTCGTGTTTCCTAGCGGCGGAGATGCCACTCGAACAGAGGGTAAGCTCCTAACAAAGCCTGCCGGCTGTTTAAAGCTCGCAGAAAGGAGAATGAAGAGGGCCGAGTAGTAGGAAAGTCGGTCAGGACTCCGAGCTGCAATATACCAATCAAAGAGAAGGGTCAGGCCCGGCGCAAAAAGGAGTTTCAGGAATCGCTCACGACCTTCTTGAACAGTTTGGCTAGAGCTAGGTGTTCAGACATTGTCTCCTGATTTTACCTAGTTTCGAAAAGCCTGCTTCTTCACAAGAACCGCATACATTATCCAGATTTTCAGAGCCCAGTCTGTTGTGGTGCAACTGCATCACCATTGAAGATCACGCCCTTCTTTTGCGTATCGAGCAAGCTTCTTTCTAGGCCTAGAGCTTGTATCATATGATGTGGGGGCAAAGCTATAACCACTTTGTACGATCTACTGTTTGCTTACTCCCACAGGTGGCACTGGCACGCATTGGAACGCGACCTCATGCGAAAGTCAGCAGCCGCGACACATACTGCTCTCCTAATCAGCACTCTCAGAACACCTGCAAGAACAGTGTTTGATCAAGGCCGTTTCATGCGTGAGCTTTGGGGACGTCAATTGGGGCCCCTTCACATCATGTGTGTTCTTTGCAGCTAGCTGAACCCTGAGATGCACAATATGCAGAAACACTACTCTCCTGAGCTTTTCTTTCTCCTTGAACTAAGGGGACTGCGTTTCTTTACTCAGGCCCGGAGGTTCATAGCACCAAAGTGGCGGGGCTTTCGACGCTTCGTTACTGGCTTGCAAACGGGACGAAGGTCGCGCTTCCTCTCCAGGACTTCCAATCGGGGACAGGTGGGCAGGTAAGCCTACCTTCCGTCAAAATGCACTTCGTAAGTGGGAGTACTTTACGAGCTTTATTGGGACCTCGATCGGCCTTGCTTTGCAACAATTCTCTTACAAGGAAGATTTAGTCGATTGCAGCAGAAGTAACGAGCCAAGATTTCGCTCCCTCCCGCTTCAGAAGCAGCACAGGCAGCTTAAGTTCTTGAGACTGACTTGGAAATTGAATCCTCAAGCTGCAGAAAGCCTGTGCTCAACAGCCATACGAGAGCTCAGAGTTTCCCATTGGGTCCTGCAGACCTTCTCCTTCAACCTGACCGTCGACAAAGAGACGACTGAACTGGGCTTCTTCGCAGTCACCCAAGACAATCGCTGTAACGTCACCCTCACCACAGCAGCTCCGGTTACGTCCGCTCTGCCGCCCAGCTTCCCTTTCCATCCCCTCCTGTGGCGGAGCGACTCCGCCTTCCGTTTGGCAAACGTAACGCAACCAGCGCGCTTCAGCATCAGCGTTACGTCGAGACATGGCCGTGTGCCGGTGATCTATGTCGTCGAGGTTACGCGGGCCGAAGGGAAGCTCAGCACCTTGGGGCGGCTGACGGCCAGCTTCGACGGACGCAAGGTTGACGTCAGCCTGAAAGATCCGGAATACGTGCAGGTGAGGCAAACCGTCTGTGCTATGAAGCAGTGCAGCGTAAGGCCACATGAGGCTTTAGGCTGGTTCTTCCAGTACGGGCACGGTGCAGGGCTCCCCATGAGATCTGAAGGTGCCCAGTAATCAAACTCTTGAAAACTTTCAAATGGAAACTTTTCCAGTACCTGCGCTGCTGCTTGCCTCGGGGATGTACTGAACAGAAGCTTCAACGTCAGACCAGGAATAGCGTCTCAAGAGCAGCTCAACGCTCGTTCACGTCTTTCTTTGTAGTGCTCCGCCTGTAAGGACAAAGTCGGTCAGCTAACGACCCTTTCACTGTGGGGTCGGTTTGTTTCAGCTTCTTCCCGGGCCTTACATTGATCAAGTCTGATGCTGCTATCACTCAGAACAGTTGAGTTGGCTATCTTAACGTTTCGTATCAGCTTCAGACCCTCTGTTTTCACTGCCTGTCTCACCAGGTCCCAGGCATTCAAGCCTCAACAAATTTCGTTCTCCTCGAATGGACGCCGTCGGATTCCGCCGCGCTCACGACCTATCGCGAATACGACCCCGTGCTTTGGGACCTCATCGCTTATGGGCGCGGCACGTCTTACAAGCTGGCGCTGACGAAAGGAGCCGACGTCAGCGTGACCCTCGAAGTGACGCCCGAGGACAGTTTGGCCGCGCCCGCTACGTCGTATTCCGTCAGCGTCAGGGTTCCGGTCGCCGGAACGGAACTGAAAGACGTGGAAGTAAGCCCGGCTGGCTTGCTCGAACCCCCGTTCTCTCCAAGCGTCTACTTCTACAAGCTGCGCTTGCCCAGCCACGTGGACAACTTCACTCTTGCCACGTGGACGCTTCGCAACGATTCGACGGCAAGCATCCTGTACATGGGCGTGAACGTCACGGGAACGGAAAACGTGACGGCGGCAGAGATCCCGGCAGATGCCGGGACTGTTTTCATCGACGTGAAGAACGCGCAAGGGAAGCGGTCGAGAAACATGTACGAGATCGATACGGTGCACCTACAGGATTACGAGATGCTGCCGTTCTTGGATCTGAAAGCGAGCCGCCTCGAGGTAAGGAAGAGTCCAAGAAAAGGACTTCATGGTTCGTTTTCTGCTGTGACCATTTTAAGCAGTCTTCAATTGTCATCGCATCATCGCCCTATGTGCGTCGAATAGACGCAAATGTCCAGATTGCGGCTCGAGTTTCAAAACTCGGCTTGTCGAATCCATGTCCTTGCCAGTGGCAGAAATTTAAAACAATCTGCCTTCGGCCGGTAGTTACTCCTCGTGCCGTTTGGCGAGTCCGGCGGCTAGTAATATCATCTTTATCCTTTTGCCACTCCGCTTATTCTCCGAATGTAAAGCTGAGGCGAGTGCCCGTCGCAAAAGTCGCAAACCCAAAACCAAGAATCGACATCTTGCGAAGAAGGAGCGGCCTTGATTATCAGGGTTTTGTGAAGGCGTACGGCCAGATTCTGTTGCCAGCTGTTGCCCTACCCAGAACTGTCCCCCACGAACGAGCTCGTCTTTTCATGACTCTCGTCGTTTCCTGACTCCTTGCAGGACTCTCGGCACAGGAAAAAGCCTTCCTGCGAGCACACACCTGGCTTCTACGACGGCCTCACTGCCGCTGTCGGGGACGAGGTCGAGTTCCAGATTACCGCGAACTGCAGCCGCTTCGCCGCCACTTTTGGCGGCGACCGTTCTCTGTGCCATGGGCTGGACGGCTTGCGTTTGGAGCTCGTGCTGGTCGCCCTCTCTAACGGCACCGTTACGCGGACCAACGTCACGGCAACGGTCGGAGAAGGCCGTTTCCGGTCCCGATTCGCGGATTCCGGCGCGGAATATTCCGTGCAAGCGGGGCTCGTGGCTTGCGAGGAAGAGCCGGAGCGGTGTTCAGCGGATTCATACCGACGGCTTGCGCTTTCGCAGGTACGCTTTTCGCATAACCAGGCTCGTTTGGTTCTGGATACATTCCTCGACATAAGAATGAGCTGCGCAAACGTATATCAGATGTCACCTTTGTTCGCAAGGATCGTCTGTCGCATGCGTGCTAAGCGATCTGCGCGCAGGTCAGTTGAACCATGACACGGACATCGACGTACGTATACTGAAACGAATGGTTAAGTACAGGAGACATGAAGTCCGCAAAATTCCCCGGACAGCTGGTTCCGAGATCGGTCCAGGAATCAGCTGTGCCTCCTTGTACTCATGATGCAAACGCAAAGTCGCTAAGCCCGATGCAGATGAGAAACGATACAATCGACTGCCCTTTTGCAGACTCTTCTGGTCGTACCGGCAGTACCGCATCCGGACCGCTCGCCCCACGCCCCCTTGCCTGAGATAGTAGCCACTAACAGGACGTCAGCAAAGCAGCCGTCTGGCGGGAGACGAGCAGCTGAACGGCCCTAGAGGGCTTCAGTGCTGTCGCGCGTGAATCGCTTCAGAAGAATTGTAACAGGAGACTAGGAAGTACTGAATTAGGAGCCAAGGAAGTACTCGATAGTGCATCCTGCCTTTTCTAGTTTTGTGTTTGTTGGGGTGTCAGAAGCTTTCATACTATACTGCTCAGCGGGCCGGCGTCAACAGATCAACAGGCCCGTAATAGGTGCCCCCGCGGTCTCTGGTCACGTATAGGAACGCGGAATTCACTTATCCATTATTGATCTGATACGCAAGCCGCACTCACCTCTGAGAAGTGAAGATGTTCACCTGTATGTAGCCGACAATCCGATTCGTATCGTGACTCCAATCAAATATATGGCAAATAAACCCCACTCCCGCCGGCAAGACCCATCATGCGTATTACATACTTCGACAGAGGTCCATGCCATCGACATGAATCTGTCGCGGTCACAAGATGCTCATTGAGAATGGAATATGCACATGCAATTGACATTCGGCACACCCCCTTCTTAGGTGCTAGCAGTAAGCACGACGCCCCTGTACGTTGCAGCTTTGATGATGTTGATTGAAGCGTCGGGTAGACAGATCCGGATGAGGATGAGATTATAATCTGCTGCTTTGTAGTGATGACTGAGAGCCGTCGAAGCTGGAAAAGATTCTTGGATTCCTGGATTCCATTTTGCAGTGATACCAGATTACCAGGGATCCCTCACTTTCATCAAGCGACAGCGCCGCATCTGAACTCAGCAACTTTTGAGGCTTTACAAGAGATACAAGGGCCCACGGGCCGTCCAGCGTCAGCACAGCAGCCGTGTGGCATGTGCTGGGCACTCGAAGCTCGGCATATGATTGGCGGCGGGAGATACCTGTTCGTCGAGCCGGCCCGGTCACCCGGTACGTCGGTCCTACTCAAAAGTTTCCTCGAGCGAGCGCCCAGTTCAAACTTCCTGTGTCTCATCATTGGCGGCACTAACTTCTGACGTCGTGCGATCGTGCTGTACGGTGACCGATTGACAGTCAGTCGAACCTGGAAACCCTTCATAGGTGACGGTGCTCAGCTCGCGGCCGCGGTCCGCTTGGGCGCGGCTAGCTCGCGTCCTGTATAGCCCCGCCTGTAGCCCAAGTTTCTCAAGCTTTCGCAACAACAAAATATCAATCAGCAAGCGCTCGTTTTTGTTCAGACGTAATTCTTGTAAAGATGGGCCTCGCTTTCTCTCAGTTGGCTCCACAGCAGTCGCGGCAGCCTGCTGATTGCGCTGACGGCATCTCCCAGAACGAAGTGCACGAAGGCGCTCCTTATGACCTGGAGTGCGGCATGGGGTCGTGCAGAAGCACTTTTTCCTCAAGGCAAGAAGAGAAAGATGAAGAAGTGACCGCGGCTCCTCCGGTGGTGATCAGGTGGGTTCTGCGCGAGGTTATTGACTGGCCCTCCACGTGGCAAACTAACGACGAAGAAAAGGGGAGAATAGAGGTTGAAACTGAGGTGCATGTAGCTCGGTTGCTCAGTTGCTGGAAGAAGCACGGGGAAGCGTTTCCTGAGGCTTTTGTCGAGGAGCTGTCCCTGCTTGTGGCCAGCTTTCAGGAAGAAGACTGCAAAGTAGGTCCTTGCTTTCCCATAAACAAGCTGGGTCAGCTGTCAAGCTTCTTGGCAGACGTCTTTGCTAGCAGCGAGGACTCCGTGCACGTCAGAAAGGACTCGCAGGAGCTTTGGGTGTCCGTCCTGGCGGCGTTCCGCCGGAAACACGACCAGATGTCTGATCAAGGTCCGGAGTGGGCGGAAGCGGCATCGATCCTTTGGCGTGAGAGGATTATGAGTCTGCTCAGCCTATTGCAGACGGACTGCTGGTTACATTTAGCAACGGAATCGGTAGCTGATACGAACAACATACGTGACCTGTACAACGAACTTGATAAGCTGTGGGTAGACCTTCACAAGGTGCAGTCTGAAGCATATAAAATGTCTGCGGCACTGAGCAAAGCAAGAAAACTTGCGAGCATAAAGGCTTCCCTCAACCGGGCGCCTTGGGAAAATGAAGCGTTCGTTGTGGTTCAGGACTTCGCTTGATAACAGCAGAGGTTAGGCCGCACTCGAAGTTGATACGGCAGATAGGGCACACAAGGAACAAGTGCTGTTTGGCAAAATCCAACGTCGTCTAGGGACCGGAGTTGAATGAGATCCAAAGTGGCACAACAACAGCGCCTTCTTCATGAATCGTTTATTGGTCTGTTCTCTTTATTGGTAAGAACCGTTGCAGCTTTTTCCGAAGTGTGAGTTTCTTTTACGTAATTTCTACCAAGCATGGCTTTTTGTACACTCTGAAGGATATGAAAGCTCATCGGTGCGCAGGAGACTAATACGATAGCGCAATGTTTGCAGAACCTACCAACGGTATCCGTGTGACCCACTGCATGAATACCTTCCCTGACTCGGAGCAACTACTGTGTTATGGACTAGTACGCACTGGTTAATAGTTGTCAGACCGTCTGAATTCAAAGCATCATCGGCCCTATTTAGAATCTTACAATTGACCTTACTGGCAATTGTAGGATATATGCCCGCAAGCTTGTGAAACCGTTAATGCTCACATCCAAGATGAAGCCTCTCGGGATTTCCACCTGGCCTCGATATCATATGCACCATCGAGTTGTCATTACATTTGGCATTCCAGAGCAAGGTCACCTCAAGTACGTAAGATCTAGAAAGCCAACATACTCCCCCACCGAGATTTTTGTCCGCCATGTTTACTGGCTGTGAATAAAATGGCTTAATTCCGAAACAAACGCGTCCTTCGACGGGACTGATCACTGGTCATTGTGAGAGACTACTTGCAACCATCTCGACTATGAGTCCCAGCCCACGAACCTCCACGAAAATGACGAGCCACGAAACCTCCACGAAGTATGGCGACGTCGCTTGTGCAGCAAGCAAGATTTCTCGGTGCAGTTGTACGTAGCTTAACTAGAGCAGCGATGAGTTGCCTCGTGGAGCGAATGTATGCGATGAATCTGAGTGACAGATGGGCGGCAGCGCTGTTCGGACGTCGACGTTGCCAGCCTGAGCGCGTCGCATAGGCTGCAATCTGCGGCCGCCGGGTCGCCGAGCGAGGTGACTCGGACGTCCGTGCGAGTCTGGCCGCGCGTGTGGCGCGCCTGAGAGTAGTGCGCGCGCGCGCGAGCGGTTGATTCCAATCAAGCCCTGCAAACCCTCGAGACATCGTGACCGCGTGTCCATCCGGCCGCTTGTCGACTGGAAGGTAAACTCGGACCTCAGGATTTGTTCATTCGGAGATCGGCAGAGAAGCAGAGGTGTGTTTGTTCACTTGGCAGCCTGGTCGAAGATGGGTCTGTTCTTTTCGCGGTGCGCCGCAGCCCCTGCGCCTGCGGACGATACTTCCTCCAGCAACCTGCACACGAAAGATCCCCCCGAGTCTTTGATAAAAACGTCAGCGCTGGAAGCGGAACGGTTTGAAGATCTTATGCCAGCACCTTCTGTCGTTACCTCCTGGGTGTTGATTGACGTAGCAAACTCGGGGATCCCTCAGAGGTTGCTAGTGACAGAGGAAAATCACTTGGAAAGGGATGCTCAAACGGAGGCCCATGCCGAAAGGCTGCGCAAGTGCTGGGAGCAACATGGAGACGCGTTTCCGAAGGCCTTCGCAATGGAGCTGTCCGCATTTTGGCAAGGCTTGCAAGATGAACAATTCAAAGGTCATGGTGACAGGGTCATTCAGGTGGCCACTTTCTTGGCGCAGATATTTGCAAGTGTGAATGCGTCCATGCACGTGACAAGGGGGTCGGAGGAGCTCTGGCCTTCCGTTCTGGAGGAGCTCCGCCGGAATCTCGAGGACATGTCCAAAGGAGCGGAATGGGCGGCTCCAGAAGCAAAGCAATGGCGAGGGAGGACACAAATTATGCTTCAGTGTGTCCCTTCAAACCTACCTAAGGAAACGTTGAACTCCGCCAAGAACATCACTATTACAACCGAAAACTACGGGAACATGGCCAAAGCTTTCAGAACCCTCATAGAAGAGATGTCAGCCATGGAAGCCGAGGGATACGAAAAACAACTAGAGGCGGAGAAGGAGGCCAAAAAGAAGGCTCTCAGGGCTGCAATGAAGAGAGCTCCGTGGGAGGTTGAGGCAAAGAAGGCAGCAGAGGCTTAAGTTTTTGTATAGGTTCAAGAGGAACATTCTCAATAGTGAAAGTGTTCAAAAAGCTTGGTGCGGTGTTCCAAAAGGGCAGTATCAAAATGGCCGTCACGTTTAAAGCAGACCTGCGCGACTCTGAACAACTTGCTTTGGTATTCACCAATTGTTTTCGTGATGAGTTGTCCTTCATGATTTGTTCTCAAGGTTCGTGTCAGTCACAAGGAACATTTGGCGCTGTCCCAAAAGGGAGCTTCTAGGCTCCTATATCGTCTGCTCGATGGTCGCTTCCAATTCATAGCTTCTTTGATGTCACTTCCTAACATCTGCAAACCGTATGGTCCGCCAGAATGGTTGCTTCTTTAAGCAATCAGCGGGTGCGGAGAATGCATCAGCTTGCTGTACGTTCCGCCCACTTGCGCACACGGCGCCCAGCAAAGTGATGATGTTGTAGGTGTTGGAGCTGGTAGGACCATTTGACGTTATATGTTACACTGCCAAAACAGGAGATGGCAAATTAATGCGATTGATGAGAATCTTCGAAGAAAGACTGGACGCACATGTATGAGGCCTCATAGCGAAAGATACTCTCTAGTCGATTTCGGAGCCACAAATATCGCAAAAACTACAGAAAGCTTCAATATTCGAAAGATTTCGCGTTTTTGCACCAGAAGAGAATCGATGCCTGGATTCAATCTTCGAATCGTTGCTTGACGTTTGAAATGTCCTCAGTTGATTCGACCTCTAAGTTTATGCAAACGTTTGAGTGACGATTTTTTCTCGCGAAGTGTACATGTGTGCGCTTTGACGTTTTACGTGGTTACAAGACAAAATACCGCGTCGAATGATTGGTTTAATCGCCCTCCAGATAATTCGGAGGGCTGTCTAACGGGATTGCTTTCATATGGTCCTCCTCGGTTGGATTTTTGACCTTCTTTAGCTCCTAAACGATGGTCATATGTAATAATCATTCACAGGCATCCATCCATCAGTGATTCGGCGGATTTTATGCACGCCCAGGCAACCAGCTTGAGATTGACGATATGACATCCAAGTCGCTTCTTTTCGCAGCTGCAAATGACATTTGGCCAGCAGCCCTGTCAACTTCGTACAGAAACGATGAATCCGTGAACTGCGAAACAATCAAATTGAGCCTTTGAGCGCCTGTCCGTCGGTTCGCAGGCACCGTCCCGGCAGCACTTTTTCGCAATTGCCACAAGGGGGCCGCTAAAATCTGTCCGGAGCAAGGGGGAGCTGAAACCAGCACTCCCCCTGGTGGGAGGGGAAGCTCGCCCTGAGAGTAGCAGTTCTCCCGCTGGGACAGATTTCCCGGCAGCGGAAGCCCCCCGGCCAGAACCGTCGGGAAGCATGGCAGCCCCCCCGGAGGAAACTGACCGGGGCGATTGAAAGCCCCCGGGCGGGAACTGGCCCCCCCGGGGCGTGTCAGGGGAGAGTGGCAGCCCAGCGCCAAGTGAAAATGGCGTCGGCAGTGGCTCCGGGAACTTGCCCTCGGATTGGGAGTGACAGGGAGCCCGGGAAGTGGAAGCGGGCCCGGGGGAATCGGCACTGACAGCCCACCGGGCAGGCCCCCGACCGACTCACCGGGCGCAGGGGCGCTGCCTGAGGAGTGGACAGCGCCCCTAACGTCGATCGCGAAAGGCCCCGCCAGCGATCCTTCCGTTGACAGCGTTTTGATTTCGCTGGCAATCCGAGCAATTTTCTGAGAGTGGGAGCGGAAGCGGTCGGGGAAAGCTTCAGGACACCAGGCGAGCCCCGGGCGTTAATATTTCGTCGGAAAGCCTGTTCAACGTGCCGGGGAAAGCAATCTGCGTCAGCGCTTACAATGCTTACCCGAGCGGGGGGACGGAGTACATCGTAACCGGGCAGGCGTTCAACAATCACCTCCCATCGTGTACGACGTCAACGGAAATGGAATCTAAGGGTCCAACAAATACCAAGCGGAATGACAAACCACTTTGGGCAGTTCTACGTGTCGACCTCAGTATATGCCCCTCCCGGTGTTGCTGGCGGGTGGCGAGCGCACGAACGCCGCGACCAAACTGCTTCTTCCGCCCGCCACTCTATCGGCTCCTCCTTACTATGCGACAATTATAACACCGATAAAGACCTTAGTACACCAACTAGGCACGCGAACAAATTTCGAGGCCACCCCGCCGGGCGCGTTTGGCAGCCAGTTTCGGACTCAACGTAAGCGCAACGCTCACAAGGACGTCGCCTGACGTCATTGCGGCTGTGCTCGAGACGAGGACGAGGCCGCGGCGCGCGTGGCCGGGATGGCGGCCGCGCTGCGGTCAGTCGGGCTCGGGGTGGCCGTGCGGCGGCCGCGGCCGCGACGTTCCGCTGATGCGCTCCGCCGGAGCGCTGCAAGCACAGGGCCAATTCTTCAAACGGAACGACTCTCAAAAGCGGAACGGTTCATGAATTGGAACGAGCGAAGGAAACGAAACGGCTCATGAGGGGCGGATTGACACAGGGGGAGCAATGATATGACCGGTAGATAAGAGCCCGGGGGCCGGCCAGGCAAGCTGCAGCTCGGCGGCTGCTCTTAGAAGCTTCTCCAGGGGGTTCCACTTTTAACGTGGAAAATTTGGAAACAGTGACGGGGCTCGATGTCACAGTGAATGATAGGTGTACAGAGGGCGACTTTGAACGGCGGCCTCAGTGCTTTGGTCGAGTCGAAGCAATTGTAAGCGGACTGAAGTTTGAACACATATACAAGGAAGCCTAAATGCCTGCGTCACGGCAGAACGGAACGGAGAAACGGGCAACGTACAGCAGATTTTTGAGGACCTGGACGAAAAAGAGTTAGGCGCTTGTTGCAGAGCGGATCGGGTGCGGCTACACCACAAGCAGATTTTGAAGCCAGTTTTATCCTGTTGTATTCGAATCAATCTTGAGACTGCAAATTCAAGAACCCCGGTCCGGTTCTGCTCATGATGCTCCGTCAAGCGAGCCCCCGGTTGAAGTCAGAAGTAGTTCGCCTGATCATTGCGAGCACGTACTTCTGACACCGTACGACCGTACCAGTACGGTAGTCGATAGACGGTCGACCAGAAACCTCGTGGTGCAAACCCTTCGTTAGTGACGGTGCTCGCGGCCGCGCCGCGCCCGGCATCAAAATCGGTCACTGACTTGCAGAGCTGGTAGCGGCCAGCCATTGCAAACGAAGTCCGTCAGGCCGCACTTTGTCTTAGTTCACAGGAGCAAGCGAAAGATGGGCCTCACTTGTTCCCAGCTGGCTCCAAGTTCATGGCAGGATGAGGGTGATGCGGCTGATGGCATCTCCCCGAACGACTTGCAGAAAGGTGGTCCGAACTTGGAAAGTCTGGGGTCACGCAAAAGCACTTTGGTCTGGCAGCGAGACTCAGAGAAGACTGGAGAA